AAAAGAATTATGGATTTAAATATTTGAAAGAAACTGTGTGTTGGGGAGGAAGTCAGTGCCAGAATCAGCCACTGCTAACACATCAGTAAAACCAAGTGTGAAGCAAATAACTCTGAACTTCTACATATGTGGCAAGATAAAGAGTAAGTCATTTATCTTCTCTATTTTACCCACAGACTGTATAAAATAATCAGTGTCACCCATTGGCTTGTGTACTACAGTTTGAAGTTTCATGCTTGGTATTTTGGCCGTCGCCATCTGAAATTTTTGGAGCTAGAAGTGACCATATTTGGATGAGAGGGTGGAGCTAACCCTAACACGAGCTGCTAGCCTATTTATGGTTGATTAAGGTAGTGCTAATGCTAATTTTTGCTAGCAAAAAACAGGCTTAGAACTATGACTGCACGATAATATCGGCACGTCTTCGGTATTGACCAGTATCTGCTTTAAAATGAATCAGAATCGGCCAACATACTTTTTATTATTTTGCACAATAAATAAATTAATATTATATACATTGGAAAGTGTTGTATTTCTCGTCTCCATCTGCTGCTGGGCCGTCGCGATAAAAGTATGCATGTATAATACAATGCTAATTCCTCTGCACAGGAGACTAGATGATCATTAAAATTAGGTGGGGACAAATGTGGATATATTGATATCGGTATTGGTTAGCAGCCAAATGCTGAACAAGACTTTTTTTAGACAACCCAAACGTTACAATTAACTTCCATTTATTGAAAACAAACTCGAAAGGAACAGCTACGGCTACACCTAAAACCAACACCAACACTGTTGCTGTGGTAGCGACTTGTCAACGGACAACAGCTACTTTTCACTCAAAGCGGGCATGAACTTAATTATGAATTACTTTATGCCTTAATAACGTTTCAGTGGGTTGTTATATAAAAATTCACCCCTGTACAGTTGTCACGAATGTACAAATTAGCTACAGAGACCAAAACTGTTTTTGCACCAGGCTGTAAACACATTTATTCCTGCTGTAAAATTGGGCACTTTAACATGAGGGTCTATGGGGATTGACTCGCTTTTGGAGCCAGCCTCAAGTGGCCATTAGGGGAACTGCAGTTTTTGGCACTTCTGTATTGGCGCTTTATTTTTCAGCCCAGGATGTTGCTGCTTCATTTTATCTTAACAAAAAATGATATGAAAATACATCATAGTTTAATACGAAAAAAAAGTTTGCTGCATCCTATATCTGCAGAAAGTAAAGGTAGTTTTTTTTCTCACCCAAATGCTATAACAAGAAGATCAATACCAAGCCCCTGTCAGACACCATCTTTTTCTCTTATCTTATACTGTACTGTAAGCTTTACTTAAACATAGCGACCTTTAAACATCAATACACTAAACAAACATAAAACTATGGAGGAACAAAATTAAATAAGACCAGAACAACTTATATAATCTGTCATCTACATTAGTATGCATGTATGTAGCATAATAAAATATGAAGTAGAGGCAAAGATGAGCCCTTTAGCACCAGCCCTTTTCAGTGTCACTCAAACTTGGTACAATCACACATCATAAACACACTTTGCCAAATGTATTTGCTTTCCACAGGAGCACGTACGCACTTACTCCCACTCAGAAAAACAAAGAGAAGTAGTTTCACTGCTTCAAAATGGAGGAAAAATAGGTGACAAGAAGATTGGCAGGAGAAAGAAAGAAAAACTGAGTATAAAAGAGTGGGAGAGAGGGAGAGAAAAAAAAAAAAAAAAAGATGACGAGCAGGCCGGCTGAGATTTAGACAGAGAAGACACATTGACTGCTGTATAGAAGACAAGCTCTTTAATCCTCTGTTAGGAGTGGAGCAGGGGAGTGAAGAGGAGACAGAGGGCTTTCATTTCTGCTCTACTTTCATAAAGCTTTTCATATTAAAACACAAGGGGGAAGAATAAATAACTAATAACAGCTGAAAGATTAACATTCACCTGCAGGTACGTGTGCTCCTCTCGCTGTGTGCTTTACTGTGAGAAACTGGGTGATAACACTTGATGCAACCGGCACTTAATCTGGTTTCACAAGCTCAAATGAAGCTTAAAACAACTCCCCGCCACAGGTTGTCATAGGCACGGGGGAAAGGGCATGAAAACAGCTTTTTATTTTGCCGGAGAGACAAATGAAGCCTCGCAATTACGCACAGTCTGACCTTCTGATTCAAACTCATCTACTGACTCAAAAGTCGATATTAAATCACAGTTCCGACTGCAGCAAAACAAGCTCGGCTCAATACTTGAATACTTTCACTTTCCAATGGATACAAAGCACATAAAAGAATATAAAGGAGCTCAGACACCCAAATCACACAGAGCAGAAAGGGGAATTTGTGGGGTGAAATTATCGTAGAATACTTCCTTTCTGAAAGACAGCACAGAGTTTAATGGTGCAAATGGAATCGCTTTTAATATTTATCTATAACTGTTAAAAGGTGAGAGCGTGAAGCTGACACTGGTGCCGCCCGCTAAGACTCTTTCATTTCATCTGTGACTGTGCTTTTAATAAATCAATACATGCAACAAAGATAAACTGAATATTCTCATATTTCTTAGTTACTAAAGAGTAACACTTCAGAGTTTCTAAACTGAACTGCCCAACCCCGATCAGCCACTGTAGAAAATGATCACGAATGTACTCTCTTTATGCTCACTTAAAGCTAAACGCTGTATTAAAACTGTCAGAAGTACTCAGACACCTACAGCTGGACGTTGGTTTAAAAGTCTTTACAAGTGTTGAACAATAGACAAGCTGACTTGCGCCACCACGAGGAAAAGACAGATTTTTTCTTTGAAATATGGAGAAAATGTTATCATGCATAAAGATTCAAGATTCAAGATTAACTTTATTGTCTCACAAAGTGAGAAATTTGTTCTGGGCCGTTCGCCCATGCTGCAGCCACAACACAGAACATACAATACAACACAATACCAAACATACAATAGATATGCGCGTTCCATATCATATAAGGTGCTGAAAAGTGCAAGAAACATGGTGAATTAAAAAATGAATAAATAAAAGAATGAATAAATAACACCTAATAGGGCTAATAAAATGCTAAAATTATAATAAGTAAAAATACTAACCTGTTCAAAACAAACAAAAGCAAGTCATCTGAGCTCTGGTCTTATCTGACCTTGTTTACCAGCTTTATTGACACAGGAACAAACTAGTTTTTAAATCTGTTTAGTCTGCAGTTAGGTACTCTAAACCTTCTACCAGACGGTAGCAGCTCATACTCGCCATGCATGATGTGTGATGGATCGCAGATAATTTTATTTGCTTGTTGCAGAGTGGCCTGTTCATAAATACTCTGAATGGAGAAGTGCAATAATTTTTCCAGCAGCATGAATTAGCTGAAACAGTTTGTTCTTTAGCTACACAGAGAGGTTACCAAACCAAGCTGTGATACTATACCTGATCAGACTTTCTAAGACTGCCTTATAAAAATCAACATAGTCTGCTATGATATTAGCTGCCTTAGCAGCACTACCCCCAGGCGGGATATATGCATAAAGATAATGTAATTTTAAAAAAGTGGCAACATTTGAGGCTGAAATGCACACAATTGCAGTTCCTCTAATGGCCACTTGAGGCTGGCTCCAAAAGCGAGTCAATCCCCATAGACCCCCATGTTAAAATTCCCAAGTTTACAGCAAAAATAAACATGTTTGCGGCCTGGTTCACAAAACTGGTTTGGTCTCTATGCCTAATCTCCTTGCTCATGACAACTGTGCGGGGTCACATTTTCTGCTAAAATGTCATCAAGGCTTAAAGCTACACGTAATTAAGGGTGCTTTCAGACCTTGAGTCGTCTTGCTTTGGTCTGAATCAGGGACTCATTTTGTCACAAAGTTGTATAATTGCCTAGAGTTGGTTCGTGTTCTCACGGCAGCATTTACAAGTGGACCAGATCAAATGCCTTGTGTGAGAAAGCTGCTCTTGATTGGTCAGAATTTCCATGTGGGAAAAATCCAGGAAGTAAAGCAAACGTTGAAGAAGAGTACACTTGCAAGATAAATGTGACACTTTCTAATGTCACAATGGAGGGACAACTACGCAGGTTGATTTTAGCGCTGCTCATCGTGGACTATATTGCTGTCATTGTTCATTTTAGTCAAACCATACAGTTTGAAAACGAGGCGCGGCTCCAACTAGAAAACAATGTTTTGATGCATTGGATGTGCTGAATGTGCATATTAAGGCAGTACAGGAGGAGGTGCACATTAATAATCCTCCAGGACTGTAACATGCTCATGTTTAACCCAAACAATGTGTCATGTGACTGCAGTTGCTTCACATCCAGGTCGGAACACCTTCTCACCACAAACGAACCGCACCAGAGTTCGTTTGTAACCGGACTGAGACCACCTTAAAACTTAGATCCACACTGAAAGCTGTACTTTGGATCACTACAAACACGCATCCATCCATTTTCTGGAGCTGATCCCAAACAAGTACAGTATTAAGAGAGAAACATTTAGAAAGGAAAACCCCAAGTCAGTTATCTTCAAGTTTCCCCATAGCAACATAGTCAAAGATGCAAAAAAATACTACTTTTGAAAACTGCTCATTACCATACACTAAGATCTTTATTCAAACTGTTATATAGTCTCATTTCCCCTGGAGTAATTATACCGTTATTACACTACATTTCCCACAAACCCCTCCAGAATTTGCTCCCTCTCCTCTGTGATGTTGTGTGCAACTGTTTTCTCGAGTCTGACATTCCAGCAAGACCTGATGATTGATGGAGCGAACTTTTCCATTAGACTTTTTCTTTTTCATGGCCGTCTGCATTTAACAGCTCTGAAAGCTTTAGCTGCTTTTTGTTCTCGGAGAACGCGGCTTACAAATATTCTTGTTTTGAGCTGCGGAGCAAATCCAACAGATGTCTCACCAGATCCTTCACGTTGTACAGAGCAACAATAAAATGTTAAAATGATAAAATGTCTCTCTATATATATATGTCTGCTAATTACCTGTGCTGCCTCCCAGCCCCACTGCCGGTATTTGGGATCGTGGGTGAACCGCCACATGTACCAGTAGGTCTCGATGACCTCCGGCCGCAGGATGTAGTACTTCTCGTTCTGCCGTACGGCCACCGCCTCCAGGCCGCTGTCGAACTTAAAGGCTTCCGGGCCAAGCTTCAACACTGGGGGGAGAAAAGAAAGGTGGAGGTGGGGAATGGTAGAGAGGGAAAGAGGGGAGGGACAAGAGGTGACACAGGAAGATGGAGAAGGACAGAAGGGAGGCAACAAGACAAACAAGAGGGAGAAGGGAGGACAGAAAAAGGACAAACATGAAGAACAAGCAGAGTAGAGGAAGGGTGAGATGGGGGAGGAGAGATGGAGAAGGGGGAGTTAATGACAGGGATCAGAGAGACAAAGGAAGAAAGTCAGCAACAGGAAAACAATGATTAAGACAGGAAACAGGAGACAGGAAATAAACATAATCTTCTGCTCCTTGTCTGTCTTCATGGTTCAGCTGCTGGTGATAACAGGTCAGGGCTGATTATGAATTAGTGTGTGTGTGTGTGTGTGTGTGTGTGTGTGTGTGTGTGTGTGTGATTATAAGAAATTAAAAAAAACCCCAAACTCATAGAATTTACTGGATGTTCATCTTTTTACAAGCACCGCCAATTAAGTGTGATGGACATTAAGAGTGGAAAATTACTGAGAAGATGAAGGAGGTGGTGACAGGACTGTCTGTGAAAAGATTAACACACTCTGACACACACACACACACACACACACACTCGATGGCTGCTGTGACTGCTCATTAAGAACCAACAGACCCAACTCTAGACAGCCTGACCGTTGCGATCAAACTCCCTGCCACCTAACCAGAAAGTTCCCTCTTCCTCTTCCTCCCGCTCTCTTTCTCTTCTCTCTGTCTCCCCATCTTCATTTGTTGCCATGGCAACCTCCCCTCTTTCTCAGAGCAACCTCACGATTTCTAAGCAAACACACACACACACTTTACACATACAATCATGATGCAAGATCACACGCTGGTGTTTCTTTTGCTGACAACTATTGATCCTCGTCGGGGAAAACATCCCGAGCAGGTATTTTTCTAAAGGTCTCCTTTGAATTGATGATATATATATTTACTCTTCCAGCAAATGAAAATGTAAAAACATGACCAATCGACCTACCACTGTCTCTGTCTCTCTAAAAAAAGCTTTTCTAAGACAGACACTATGAATTTATGTCCTTTAGGTAGTTTTACTGCTTGTGATCCTGAAATCACTGCAGCTGCACAACATCTTCAAACTGTTTTAGAACATTGCAGAGAAAAGATGCAGCGATGTGAACTGGCCGATCTGAGCTCAACTTAAGCCGGCTGATGGTGTCACCTGCAACTCAGCTGGTCAAACTGCCAACGGCTGGTTTTAGAACGTAAAGCACGTCAACTGTTTCAACAGCTGATTGGCTTGTAGTGAAGTCTGCTGGTCAAGTCAAAGTGACCACAGAAAGCATGTTTGCTCGCTGCAGCAGGTGCTACATCTCTGCCGAGCCTTCTGTTTCTGTCCTCGCAGTGTGCCAGTGTCGGACGGTGGGTCGCTGCTGCTGCTGCTGCTGCTCGCACATACATGCTCATATTATCACATATTCCTATGGCGTATTTCTTATCTGATGCTCATTTTGTTTCTGTTCTTAGCCATTTCATCACTACAAATGCAGCTATAGCCTGTATCTCACTATCACTATCCTCATTCATATTTTAAGAAGCTACAAATTATATTCAGCCACAAAATAAGCCCGAAAAGCTGCAAATCAGAACAGAAGTACAGAGAGTTGTTGCATAGAGATGATACACCGTCTCATCTAGTTGCACATATGTGAAGTAGTTGTCTGTTTTAACTCGCCACGATCATAAAAGTAGAATACAAAAATATATGACACACAACATTATTTATTCATCTGCATGTTGTTAATTATCCTAGAAAAGGGGTTGCACGGCGACACTTTCAGAGCACAAAAACACAGACTGGAGTGTTTACAGTCTCTGTTGCAATCGATGGGACATTTAAAAATAGCAGGTGCATTTGTGCACCAGTCCTTGTCAAGCAAGGGTGACTATCTCCTCTGGACCAATCAGCAGACTGGAGTGTTTCTAGCTTTACATTACCGGATCAGTGTGCCAGATACCTCAACACAGAGGTGACCAATTACGTGACAGACCTGAAGTGTTCTATCGGTGCCATCAACAACTTTTGACAGTGGAAACGCAGTAATACTTTTTTAATGTCTGACGAACTGAACTGAACTGAACTGCTCGGTGGAAACGAGGCTTTGAGGTTATAGGAATGCATTTACTGCACATTAAAGCAATAATAATATTGGCTTCAGTGTAAGAAACACCAGTGTAATCAAATGTGAAAAAAAAACAAACAAACAAAAAAAAAAAACTCTGTAGTTGAACAGTTGTTTCAAATATAAAGTTACAGACAATCTGTACTCTGCTAACATGCTGGTTTCATTCAGACTCAAAGTGCTGTGTGTGTGTGTGTGTGTGTGTGTGTGTGTGTGTGTGTGTGTGTCTGCTCACCTGTCCTGTCATAGGACTCGTGGCAGGTGTGTGCGATCTCAGCTCCAAGCTGCAAGTAGTGTCCGGCCTTGTCGTCGGGTGAGCCGTCAGCTCCCAACGCAAACATGCCGCCGGCGAAGCAGGCCAGGTGGCCCATCTTCCTCTCCAGGTGGCCATTCTTCCACTCACCAATGAAAGTCAGACCGCCGTTGGATTTGCGTATCAGGTGGCGCTCGATGGCCTGGAAGGTAGAGTGTGTGCATTTGGTAAATGAGACGATCCAAGAAAGTTGAATGAAGAAGTATGTTTTCAGTGAGGATGTGGACAGAGGTTACAAATGAAATATTGAGTGTACGTGTGTGTGTGTGTGTGTGTGTGTGTGTGTGTGTGTGTGTGTGTATTTGTATGCAGACAGCGATTGAAACAACACATCAGGATGTGTGAAATGTGTGTTTGGGTGAGAATGTGCATATGAGAAGAGGTAAGGTCAGAAAATGTGGAATGACAGTATTAAAGTAAGAATGTGAACGGAGGTTGTGAACGGAATATTAAGTGTGTGTACGTGTGTGTGAATGTATTAATGGGGTTAAGTTGTGTGAATGGGGCAGTGACATTGAGTGCATGTGTAAGAGGGCGGGGAAGAAGAAGAGGAAGAAAACAGAACAAAGTGGTGAGTGCAGAATTTAAAATGCAGCCACATCCCTCGCCCTTCGCTCTGTAGCATCTGTTCTGCTCACTCTGTGACACTCTTAATGATTGACAGACATCTTCATCAGCTACAGACCACTGACATCTGCTCCCTGCTGAATCTGCTCTCACTTTAGGTGGAATAAAACACAAGCACACCTTCTTTTTGTAACCTGCCCACCTCACTTAAATGCTTTAAATCAGTACCTTTGCTACTGGCACACGCATCACTGACAGAGGGGGCAAAAAGTATGATCATCATCAATCATAATCATAGGTATCGCATTAACTCTTCTTCAGACCCTCTCAGACACAATCCAGTTTGAGCTGCATTTGCAGCTGTGCAGCTTTTTATTATTACCGTTATTTAGGCTGACCAAACGTCCTCTTTTGCCCGGACATGTCCACTTTTCACGTCCTGTCCGGGGCGTACGGGGGTTTTCCGTGTGTGTGTGCGTGTGTGTGTGTGTGTGTTAGAGTGCGGCACGGGTCGCATATTTCTGTCAAAACTAGGGATAGACTGATATGGATTTTTTAGGGCCGATGCCGATACCGATTTTTTTCCATCACCCTTAGCCGATGACCGATTATTGACTGCCAATTTTCTTGAGCCGATAATTGGGGCCGATACTGCTTTTGCTCCCTCAATTTACATCAAAAAAATGACACAATGATAACAAATATTACAGGTCTCAAGTTTAAAATAAGAAACATTTATTGAACAGTAAAAAATACTAAAACAAGATGGAAAGTTGAGGTAGAACAGGTAGAATATTATTATTATTATTATTACACATTCAAATAAAAAAAAGAGTTCAGTGCTCTTAAATCTTCCAGTAATGTCTTTATAAAATAAACAAATATTTAAAATGAAGCATAAATAAAACAACAACTACTGTACACAGTAGGATTCGCTGCATGTGCACTGCAGGGTCTTCTGGCAACACAGAGCTGCCCATGGATGCCTGTCTGTAAATCATGCCAGGGAAAAATAAATCTGCGAACCCACGCGCGTATTGGCCAATGCCGATACAAGTAAAAAACTCAAATATCGGCCCGATATATCGGTCTATCTTTAGTCAAACCCCGACCCAAGCCCGACATTATTTAATTACTAAAGCACTGAGTTTGTGTCACACAGTGGTTACAGGTTATTTAACAGGCCGGGCGTGCCCCGTTGGTTTTCAGCGGAGAGGGAGACCTCCGTGTTTGAGACGGGAGCGGGAGGTCCGAGGCTTCCAGCGAGAGGAGAGGGAGAAATAAAACAAAATAAGATAAAATAGGAGACACCTGTCTCCCTCTTTTATTTTATTTTCAGCGTTTAATCAAGGCAGAGGCAGGCGGCTGGAGGTCCGAGACTTCCAGCGAGGGGAGAGTTAGAAACAAACAGCCAATGTGTGTCTGTGTGTGTTATGTTCAGGTGTTGTCACGTAAATAACAGTGCCCAAGCAACAAACAGGACAGACAATAGGATTTTATTTATTTTTACACTACATTTTCACTGAAAGCTGACCGAATCCGACCCGAGCCCGAATACAATTTATACAATTTTGACCAAACCCGGCCCGACCTGTCGGTACCGTCGGACTCGGATCGCCACACTCTAGTGTGTGTATGTGTCCCCTATAGGGGCCTACCTGAATTTCTGTCTTTGAGAGATATTATTTTGTAATATAACTGAATTTTCTATCCATACATATAAACTTTAAATAGGCTATAGGCCTATTAAAATGATAAGGCATCTTTGAGTAAACTGCGAGTATCATTTAAGTAGGCTATGTCATGACCGGGCCGAGTGTCCTCTTTGTTGGAAATCAAAATATGGTCACCCTACCGTTATTAATAGTCAGTTGCCTTTTGCTGAACAATGGGACAGGAACAAAACTTTGTCCGATTCAAAGTGATGAGTGTTGGAAATGTAAGGACCCATTCACACTGGTGCTATCTGGTCTGCTTAAAATGAACCCTGGTCCGATTACATGGGTAGTTTGGTTCATTTGGAGTAGTGTGAACGCTCAATCGAACTCTGGTGCAGACCAAACGAGCAAACCCTGGTCTGCTTGAAAACTGGGGGTCTCAGTTCTCTTGCAAGTGAACCCTGGTGCGGTTCGCTTACAGTGGGAAATGCAAACAGACTATCCAGCAAACCAAAGAGAGGAAGTGACGTAGAGCGCAGTGCATTTTGGTAGAAGAAAAACAAAGCCAACAGCACGAACCGCTCATTGCCTCGCCTGCTGCTCATACTGGGCAGCTTCTAGGTTTGAACACCAAAGTAAAAACAGAAACCCCAAGACTGTATAAATTTGGTGTTGCTCCTTGTGTTTGTGGTGACCAAGCCGGCTGAAGGGGATGGAATTTCCGTTTTCAGTCCTGGCCAATCGATGAGCAGGGTTTTCTTCTTCCTCATGCCTTTTTGCTTCCTGGTCAGTGGTCCTTTCGGGCAATGCCGCCCCCAGACAAGCAGCTGTTGTAACTGCGTGACGTTGTCCAGGTGGTTTGGTCCGCTTTAAAAAGTGCAGTGTAAAAGTGAACCAAACCAAATGAATTCCCCCGCCCAATCGAACCGAGTCCCCCGGACTATCCTGGTGTGAATGTGCCCTAAGGGTTTCCCCATTTTTGACCAGAGTACATCACATTTTCACCTTCTTGGAGACAAATCTGTTCTAGCAGCGCAACTTGCAAAGGCACAGTTTGGATTGGCTCTTGCAGGCTTCCTTATTGCACCCAAGATTATACAAGGAACTGGAAAAAATAAACTCAAACCTTGGTATAAGGACTGGATTGATCTCATGACTGTTGCAGCATCATACAAGTTAAAGCTGGTTAAACTGAAAGATTGAGAGTCGAGATTCAGTGAAATGTGGCGTGGCTTCCTCAGATTTATTAGCACGGGGCCATAAATGGGGGCGCCCACTAGCTGACCTGGTAGAGCGGGGGCCCCTGGGTTCAGTCCCGCCCACTTCAAAAGATTTGAACTATCCCTTTAAAAGGAAGTGTCTGTAAAACATATGCAGATGTGTTGGGCTGTACCTCAATGGCGTCATCATAAGTCTTGCGGGCCTCTGTGTCGGTCTTGTCTGACATGAGCCACGCCTTCAGCAGGTACTCGTAAAAACTGTCCCCAAGTCCTCCAACTGAGGTGTGATCTGCAGAGACAGAGAGGAAATAAAAACAGTTAAAAAAGTGCAGGAAACAAAGGTAGAAAGGAAAAACAGCAAGAGACGGACAAATGAGAAAGCCAAAGTGAATTATTCATTCTTCGACTTTGCCTGAAAGTCACTGGCAGAGAGAAACATATGGCATCAAAAGCATCTACCCAAACCCAGGGTTTTTTTTTTCTTCTCCACACCCACGATATATTGGCAGCATTCATCCCACTCATTTTTTCGTTTTTGTTTACCGTTTCCCTGATGGGCTCACATTTCACTGTCCCCACTCGTCCTCTTGAAAGTTTACACAGCTTTCATGGCTGTCCTAATTTGCAGGACGCCACATAGAGAGGATGGGACGCAGCCAACACTCATTCTGATCACACTATGAAAATAACTTATTTTCTCCAGAGGGAGTTTCGAGCCCCACTTGATTTGATTTTTTAATGACACTTTGGTCTATTTCAGGGGCAATTTTACTGACCTATAAAATATTATTCACTATATTACACAAAGAAAAGAAATTTGTGCTCCTAAGATTTGCTGAACCATACCAGCATGACAGAAGATACTTTCTGACAATAACTGAAAAGGCAACTATTCTTTATAGTTTGATTTATCTATCATGTTTAATGTTTATGTTTGTGAATGTCAACTAATCATTTGCATTTGTGCAAAAATACATCTTTTTTGTTCTGCAGTTATTCAGAGTTACTTTATACTAACAAATTAAGTAAATAGGTGGTAAAATTATCCGAAATTTCATTCTTCCTTAGGAGCTCCTAGTGCCAGTGGCGGAAAAAGTGTTCAGATCATTTACTTAAAGCAATAGCGTCAACATCAGCTTAAGTGTACACTAAATTTAGAACATTTTTACGGCTTAACCCTGCCTTGCTGTCAAGTAGTCGTTCGTTAGTCACTCACCCTACAGCAGGAAACAGCACTTCAAAATAAAAGCTTTGTGCTGGAAATTCACTGTACTGAAAAATAAAGTGTGTTTGTTACAAAGCTGATGCGTTCACAAGTCACTTGCGGACCATTCAGAATAGACCCACAACCTATTTTGGACCACAACCCAACAGTTGGCGACCACTGATTTAGAAAATTGAATTTAAGATATTACAAGACTTTTTAAGGACATGTAGATGCCCCGGAGTAAAAATATGACTTAGAAGACAAGGGAATTACTCAAGTAAAGCACAAATATTGAAAAACTGTACTTAACTACAGTACTTGAAATGTACTTAGTTACTTTCCACCACTGCCTTATGATCTCAAAGGGCCAGCTGGGGATGCAATCTTCATTTAGCTCCGACTTCACAGAGGGACACTGTGATATCCTTCATCCTCGACGTGTGGCTATCTCCTCAGCTCTGTGTAATCATATTCGATATCTGATGCAGATGCTTTGTGTCTCATCTAAAGGGATTCTTCTCTGTATGTGATTAACATGCCCGTAGGTAAATGGAGGGATACACAAAGACGGGGGGGACGAGAGAAAGACGAAGGAGCCATGAATTATTCATCTTTAGTCACACTGAGAGCACAAACAACCTTGGAGTCATTACTGAAGGCAGAGTGTGCTGATGTGTGTGTGTGTGTGTGTGTGTTCATGTCTGAACGTACATGTGGGTGACTGAGTTCATATATTTACACTGAAAATAACAGCTAGTCGTGAGGAAGCGACTTTAAAATAAAGAAAATACTGGGTACAGATTTACTCACATTTGGAAACATATTTTATAAATGAGTTTAAATCCTCTCGGACTTGTTTGTAATTGGTGGAATAAAATTATTTTCTGTAAGTGAGCCAATCAAAAAGACCCTAGCACAATTACGATGGCAATATCAAGTCTGTGTGTTTGTTATTTTAAGTATTTTAGGACTCACAACCCTGGCATTTTGCTGCAACAGATATTTCCCACATGTTTTATTCAGAGTGCTCATGCAGCATCAGCACCACTAAAGCACTCACAATAATGCAGACTTTCTCTGGGGTGTTATTTGGCAGTTAACGATGCATGTGACTGCAATGAAATGTTTTCCTTTTCAACGTTGCATGAAAAAAATTTCATATAATCACGAATATCCCCTTGCTGGAGATACAACTCTCTTCATCAGCGCTGATCTATCCTGGATGGAAAACAACCAGCAGACCTAGATGGATGCCGGTATATTTTGTATTCATCTTGAGTATTTGTGCTCCGCCAGCATCTGGCAGGTCACCAGCCCTCTTCTGGTGGCTCTGTACCACGCCAAATTATCATACTTGGTTGGTGAAGTACTGAAAGTGGCATGTGGTTATTTGTGTGTCTGCTGGCTGAAAGAAAAACACTTTCATGTCAAGGTTATAATGGCGCTGCACCTTGGCGGTTTGTGGAGCTCCTTCAGGTGACTAATGAGTGGAGAATCTAGGATGAATGTTCTTGAAGGAAAAGTCACCTACGTACCAATCTACTGTCATTTGTCACAAATAAAGCGTCTGTTGATCTGTATTTCCTTTAGGGTAAAGACACAAAAGGGAAAGCTTCCACCAGGGTGCTGAAGAAGCAACCCTGACTTGACTGTTGAGCTTCACGTCCAGGTGGAGGAATGAGGATTCAGTCCTGGTAGCGGCAGCTCTTGTAAGAGTCACAAGAAGCTAAAGGGATTTTATGTCAGAGAGCTTCTGATCTCACCTTTAGGTTAATGGTAAGGAGCTCAATAATCCCCAAAGAGATCTGCTCAGAATGATTCGTACTTTGCTTACAAAGGAGCCACATGAGGTGGGTCTAAAATATCTAAACAAGACGCCTTCCTGATCCTTCCATGTGAAGGCTTTCTGGGCCACTCGTACCCTCTCCACCAACATTAGGGCTGTCAAAAAAAAATTGAAGTTGGAAACATACTTGAATGTATGTTTTTTTTAGTTCGAACCTAAATTTGATAATTTGAATATCATTAATAATTAATTAATACTATTAATAATGTTGTATATCACGGCAAATCCCGTTCGGGCGGAGATGGCTCGCGCGCAAGCCGGGCCAGAGAGGGACGCAGCGACGGAGGAAGAGGCGCCCGCTGCGCCAACACCACCCACTGCGCTGTCCGCGATGCGTGACCTGTTCGGGGAGACATACAGGGAGAGTGTTGCACCTGCTGCCTCTCTGCCTACCCTTTTTGAAGAAGAGATGAAACATTACCAGAATGAGACACCACTACGAGCCGACCAGGATCCACTCTTGTGGTGGAAAACTACGCATTGAAGTATCCAAACATTGCTCAGATGGCAAGGCAGAAGTTGGTCATACCTGGGACTTCAGTGAGGTCAGAAAGGGTGTTTTCATCCGTGTGTATATAATAATAGATAATAAATTCGAATATTATTCGAACTCTACTAAATTAATTCAAAAATATTCTAACTCAATTTCATGGTGCTTTTGACAGCCCTAACCAACATAAGGACATATATGCAAGTTTTTATAATGCAGGTAAACCCACTTAAAATAGGTGATGGACGATGGATATATAAAGAGAATTAGATACAGCGTTGGAGGTGGAACCCAATGTATTCCTATGAAAGCTTCTTTGTGGTGTGTGAAGCCAAAAAAGTTCAACTGTAGTGTAAAATATGACCCTGATTATTAGCACTGTTCTGCACTGTGTGTGGCCTATACAGCAGGTGTACAAGAGACTTCCGCTGGTGGAGCCGGCTACAGTTAGCGCTCTGCTTATGTGAATGGGGAAGAAATGATTCAGTCGTGTGGCTCTTCTAGACTTTCCAAATATTATCAGAATGAAAAGATGAAATTCTGATTTTGTGAAGGTTGTGATATTTAATAAAAAAAAGAAGACGAAGAAAAAAAAAGAATATTTCATTGGGCTTTTGCCTTTAACTGATAGGACAATATAAAGTGTGAAAGGGGGAGAGAAAGAGGGGATGACACGTAGCAAAGAGCCGTGGGCTCTACAAAAATTGGCATTAAAGCCAGGCACATTTGGAGGCCAGTAATAGACAAGTATGCCTTTCAGTTTGTTTTCCTAGTGGATCACGTTCAACATGGTTGGCTGTTGAAACAGGTGATGAGCTTAACACCAGTGATTTGACCAGCAGAGTCTAAAATGGTTTCATCTTGTGGCAAATCATTGGTCTGAACTGGGCTTTAGCGTGTCCATCCAGGTGTCATGTTTCCATCACTGCTGATTGAAGCCGTTCAGAGCTGCAACCAATAAATACAGTGACTACTGAAGACTCATTTGTCTCTGGAATGAATGTCAACTGTAACTTTTCCCATTAAAGATACAAGCCAGATGTTAGTGGGTATTGAAGGGTTATTTGTCAAGTCTGAAGGGGGCTGAACAGACCCAAGGGCTAACCTTACAAATACTAAATAGATTTCATATTTCACTCTAACACGTGAACCCAGGATAATGCTGGAGTTTGTGGTTGGGAAGAAAGACATCTGAGCTACTTCTTTCAGCCTGCTGCTGCTGCTGCTGCTGCTCTAAACAAACCCAGATAAGCAGCAGAAAATCAATGGATGGAGGGACAGTGCTTCTCGCCATCATTACCATTTCTACTATGGTTAATGTGCATTCCTCGCAGAGAGGGGAATTACCAGCAGCCCTGAGCCAACTGTAGCTACATTTTAAAGCTTATTTATATTCAAAATGTTGATTTGGCTGAGAGCACAGTGAAGTTGGTTGGACAAACTTTGGAAATTAGCAGATATTGTAGATAACAGATAAAGTTTAAAAAGTTAACTTATTTTCCAGGGGTGAGACTCTCGTTGCTTGAGGACAGAGATCCTCTCTCTTTGGATTTGGATTGGAAGTCGATACCTTTCTGTCCATGCACAGAATAATTCATTAGCAGCAGAGAGGAGAGAGAGTGACAGTAAATCCTCTATAATACAGTTAGAATTATTTCACTATATCACAGCCGCAATTTAACAATAGTTTTAACCAGAAAGACCTTGAAATGTGAGACTTGGTCAAGTTAGGTCAAGTCAAAAACT